ACCAGCTCCTGCGATCGCGGAGGATGCGTAAAACCTCCTCCGCGTCGAGAAGGAGCGTCCAGCTCCTGCCGTAGAGGAGGTTAAAGTTCCTGCCGTCAAGGAGGATGATAAAAATCCTGCCGTCGAGGAGGAAGTTAAAGATCTTTCCGTCGAGGAAGTTACAGTTCCTGCCGTCGAAGAGGTTATAGTTCCTGGCGTCGAGGAGGAAGTTAAAGTTCCTGCCGTCGAAGAGGTTATAGTTCCTGGCGTCGAGGAGGAAGTTAAAGTTCCTGCCGTCGAGAAGGAGGTTAAAGATCAAGCCGTCGAGGAGGAGGGTAAAGTTCCTGCCGTCGAGGAGGTTAAAGTTCCTGCCGTCGAGGAGGATAAAAATCCTGCCGTCGAGGAGGAAGTTAAAGATCTTGCCGTCGAGGAGGTTAAAGTTCCTGCCGTCGGGGAGATTAAAGCTTCTGCCGTCGAGGAGGTAGCAGGTCATGCAGTTTAGGTTAAAGTTCCTGCCATCAAGGAGGAGATTAAATCTTCTGCCATCGAGGAGAAGGTTAAAGTTACTGCCGTCGAGGAGGATGGTAAAACTCCTGGCGTCGTGAAGGAGCGTCCAGCTCCTGCCGTCGAGGAGGATGATAAAACTCCTGCCGTCGAGGAGGATAAAAATCCTGCCGTCGAGGAGGAAGTTAATCATCTTGCCGTCGAGGAGGTTAAAGTTCCTGCCGTCGAGGAGGATAAAAATCCTGCCGTCGAGGAGGAGGTTAAAGTTCCTGCCGTCGAGGAGGAGGATAAATATCCTGCCGTCGAGGTGGAGATCTTCCCGTCGAGGAGGTTAAAATTCCTACCGTCGAGGAGGAAAAAAAGGAGGTTAACGTTCCTGCCGTCGAGGAGGTTAAAGTTCCTGCCGTCGAGGAGGAGGGTAAAGATCTTGACCTCGAGTAGGAGGCTATAGTTCCTGCCGTCGAGGAGGAAATCCTGTCGTCGAGGAGGAAGTTAAAGATCTAGCCGTCGAAGAGGTTAAAGTTCCTGCCATCGAGGAGGAGGGTAAAGATCTCTCCGTCAATGAGAAGGTTAAAGTTCCTGCCATCAAGGATGAGATTAAATCTGCCATCGAGGGGAAGGATAAAGTTACAGCCGTTGAGGAAGATGCTAAAGATACTGCTGTCGAGGAAGTGGGTCCAGCTCCTGCCCTCGAGAAGATACCAGCTCCTGCCGTCGAGGAGGATGGTAAAACTCCATGCGTTGAGAAGGAGCGTCCAGCTCCTGTCGTCTAGGAGGATGGTAAAACTCCTGCCGTCGAGGAGGATAAAAATCCTGCCGTCAAAGAGGAAGTTAAAGATCTTGCCGTCGAGGAGGTTAAAAATCCTGCTGTCGAGGAGGAGGTTAAAGTTCCTGCCGTCGAGGAGGAGGTTAAAGTTCCTGCCGTCGAGGAGGAGGTTAAAGATCTTGCCCTCGAGGAGGTTAAAGTTCCTGCCGTTAAGGAGGAGGATAAAAATCCTGCCGTCGAGGAGGAAGTTAAAGATCTTACCGTCGAGGAGATTAAAGTTCCTGCCATCGAGGAGGTTAAAGCTCCTGCCGTCGAGGAGGTTAAAGTTCCTGCCGTCGAGGAGGAGGGTAAAGATCTTAGCGTCAAGGAGGAGGTTAAAGTTCTGCCATCAAGGATGAGATTAAATCTTCTGCCATCGAGGAGACGGTTAAAGTTACTGCCGTTAAGGAAGATGCTAAAGATACTGCTGTCGAGAAAATGGGTCCAAATCCTGCCGTCGAGAAGATTGATCAGCTCCTATAGTCGAGGAGGATGGTAAAACTCCTGGCGTCGAGAAGGAGCGTCCAGCTCCTGCAGTCGAGGAGGATGGTAAAACTCCTGGCGTCGAGAAGGAGCGTCCAGCTCCTGCAGTCGAGGAGGATGGTAAAACTCCTGGCGTCGAGAAGGAGCGTCCAGCTCCTGCAGTCGAGGAGGATAAAACTCCAGCCTTCGAGGAGGAAGTTAAAGATCTTGCCGTCGAGGAGGTTAAAGTTCCTGCCGTCGAGGAGGAGGATAAAAATCCTGCCGTCGAGGAGGTTAAAGTTCCTGCCGTCGAGGAGGAGGTTAACATTCCTGCCGTCCTGCCGTCGAGGAGGTTAAAGATCTTACGAGAGGAGGCTAAAGTTCCTGCCGTCGAGGAGGAGGATAAAAATCCTGCCGTCGAGGAGGAAGTTAAAGATCTTGCGGTCGAGGAGGTTAAAGTTCCTGCCATCGAGGAGGAGGGTAAAGATCTATCCGTCAAGGAGGAGGTTAAAGTTCCTGCCATCAAGGATTAGATTAAATCTTCTGCCATCGAGGAGAAGGATAAAGTCACAGCCGTTGAGGAAGATGCTAAAGATACTGCTGTCGAGGAAATGGGTCCAGCTCCTGCCCTCGAGAAGATACAATCTCCAGCCATCGAGGAGGATAGTAAAACTCCTGGCGTCGAGAAGGAGCGTCTAGCTCCTACCGTCGAGGAGGATAGTAAAACTCCTGCCGTCGAGGAGGAGGATAAAAATCCTGCCGTCGAGGAGGAAGTTAAAGATCTTGCCGTCGAGGAGGTTAAAGTTCCTGCCGTCGAGGAGGATAAAAATCCTGCCGTCAAGGAGGAAGTTATAGATCTTGCCGTCGAGGAGGATGGTAAAACTCCTGGCGTCGTCAAGGAGCGTCCAGCTCCTGCCGTCGAGGAGGAAGTTAAAGATCTTGCCGTCGAGAGGTTAAAAATCCTGCCGTCGAGGAGGAGGTTAACGTTCCTGCCGTCGAGGAGGAGGTTAACGTTCCTGCCGTCGAGGAGGTTAAAGTTCCTGCCGTCGAGGAGGAGGGTAAAGATCTTGCCCTCGAGTAGGAGGCTAAAGTTCCTGCCGTCGAGGAGGATAAAAAATTCCTGTCGTCGAGGAGGAAGTTAAAGATCTTGCCGTCGTGGAAGTTAAAGTTCCTGCCATCGAGGAGGAGGGTAAAGATCTCTCCGTCAAGGAGGAGGTTAAAGTTCCTGCCATCAAGGATGAGATTAAGTCTTCTGCCATCGAGGAGAAGGATAAAGTTCAAGCCGTTGAGGAAGATGCTAAAGATACTGCTGTCGAGGAAATGGGTCCAGCTCCTGCCCTCGAGAAGATACAAGCTCCTGCCGTCGAGGAGGATGGTAAAACTCCTGCCGTCGAGGAGCGTCCAGCTCCTGCAGTCGAGGAGGATGGTAAAACTCCTGCCATCGAGGAGGAGGATAAAAATCCTGCCGTCCAGGAGGAAGTAAAAGATCTTGCCGTCGAGGAGGTTAAAGTTCCTGCCGTCGAGGAAGAGGATAAAAATCCTGCCGTCAAGGAGGAGGTTAACGTTCCTGCCGTCGAGGAGGAGGTTAAATTTCCTGCCATCGAGGAGGAGGTTAAATATCTTGCCCTGGAGTAGGAGGTTAAAGTTCCTGCCGTCGAGGAGGATAAAAATCCTGCCATCGAGGAGGAAATTAAAGATCTTGCCGTCGAGGAGGATAAAAATCCTGCCGTCGAGGAGGAAGTTAAAGATCTTGCCGTCGAGGAGGAAGTTAAAGATCCTGCCGTCGAGGAGGTTAAAGTTCTTGCCGTCGAGGAGGAGGTTAAAGTTCCTGCCGTCGGGGAGGTTAAAGTTCGTGTCGTCGAGGAGGAGGTTAAAGGTCCTGTCGTCGAGGAGGAGGTTAAACTTCCTGCCGTCGGGGAGATTAAAGCTTCTGCCGTCGAGGAGGTAGCAGGTCCTGCAGTTTAGGTTAAAGTTCCTGCCATCAAGGAGGAGATTAAATCTTCTGCCATCGAGAAGGTTAAAGTTACTGCCGTTGAGGAAGATACTAAAGATACTGCTGTCGAGGAAATGGGTCCAGCTCCTGCCGTCGAAAAGATACCAGCTCCTGTCGTCGAGGATGATAAAACTCCTAGCGTCGAGAAGGAGCGTCCATCTCCTGCTGTCTATATGGAGGTTATAGTTCCTGCCGTCGAGGATGATGATAAAAATCCCGCGAGGAGGAAGTTAAATATCTTGCCGTCGAGGAGGTTAAAGTTCTTGCCGTCGAGGAGGAGGATAAAAATCCTGCCGTCGAGGAGGTTAAAGTTCTTGCCATCGAGGATGATGATAAAAATCCTGCCGTCGAGGAATAAGTTAAAGATCTTGCCATCGAGGAGGTTAAAGTTCCTGCCATCGAGGAGGTTAAAGTTCCTGCCGTCGAGGAGGAGGGTAAAGATCTCCCCGTCAAGGAAGAGGTTAAAGTTCCTGCCATCAAGGATGAGATTAAATCTTCTGCCATCGAGGAGAAGGTTAAAGTTATTGCCGTTGATGCTAAAGATACTGCTGTCGAGGAAATGGGTCCAGCTCCTGCCGTCCAGAAGATACAATCTCCTGCCGTCAAGGAGGATGGTAAAACTCCTGGCGTCGTCAAGGAGCGTCCAGCTCCTGCCGTCGAGGACTCCTGCCGTCGAGGAGGATAAAAATCCTGCCGTCGAGGAGGAAGTTAAAGATCTTGCCGTCGAGGAGGATAAAATTCCTGCCGTCGAGGAGGAGGATAAAAATCCTGCCGTCGAGGAGGAGGATAAAGTTCCTACTGTCGAGGAGGAGGTTAACGTTCCTGCCGTCGAGGAGGAGGTTAAGTTCCTGCCGGAGGAGGATAAAAATCCTGCCGTCGAGGAGGAAGTTAAAGATCTTGCCGTCGAGGAGGTTAAAGTGCCTGCCGTCGAGGAGGGTAAAGATCTCTCCGTCAAGGAGGTGGTTAAAATTCCTGCCATCAAGGATGAGATTAAATCTTCTGCCATCGAAGAGAAGGTTAAAGTTACTGCCGTTGAGGAAGATGCTAAAGATACTGCTGTCGAGGAAATGGGTCCAGCTTCCTCGAGAAGCTCCTGCCATCGAGGAGATACAATCTCCTGCCGTCGGAGGATGTAAAAATCTCTGCCGTCGAGGAGAAGTTAAAGTTTCCTGCGTCGAGGAGGTTAAAGTTCCTGCCGTCGAGGAGGAGGATAAAAATCCTCCCGTCGAGGAGGTTAAAGCTCCTCCCCTCGAGGAGGTTAAAGTTCCTGCCGTGGAGGAGGAGGGTAAAGATCTTAGCGTCAAGGAGGAAGTTAAAGTTCCTGCCATCAAGGATGAGATGAAAACTTCCTGCCGTCGAGAGGAGGTTTAAAGTTCCTGCCGTCGAGGAGGAGGTTAAAGATCTTGCCCTCGAGTAGGAGGCTAAAGTTCCTGCCGTCGAGGAGGAGGATAAAAATCCTGCCGTCGAGGAGGAAGAGGATAAAAATCCTCCCTTCGAGGAGGTTAAAGCTCCTCCTCTGCCGCCGTGGAGGAGGAGGGTAAAGATCTTAGCGTCAAGGGGAAGTTAAAAGTTCCTGCCATCAAGGATGAGATTAAATCTTCTGCCATCGAGGAGACGGTTAAAGTTACTGCCATTGAGGAAGATGCTAAAGATACTGCTGTCGAGGAAATGGGTCCAAATCCTGCCGTCCAGAAGATACAATCTCCTGCCGTCGAGGAGGACGGTAAAACTCCTGCCGTCGAGGAGGATAAAAATCCTGCCATCGAGGAGGAAATTAAAGATCTTGCCGTCGAGGAGGATAAAAATCCTGCCGTCGAGGATAAAAATCCTGCCGTCGAGGAGGAAGTTAAAGATCTTGCCGTCGAGGAGGAAGTTAAAGATCCTGCCGTCGAGGAGTTAAAGGGCCGTCGAGGAGGAGGTTAAAGTTCTGCCGTCGGGGAGGTTAAAGTTCGTGTCGTCGAGGAGGAGGTTAAAGGTCCTGTCGTCGAGGAGGAGGTTAAACTTCTGCCGTCGGGGAGATTAAAAACTTCTGCCGTCGAGGAGGTAGCAGTCTCAGTTTAGGTTAAAGTTCCTGCCATCAAGGATGAGATTAAATCTTCTGCCATCGAGAAGGTTAAAGTTACTGCCGTTGAGGAAGATGCTAAAGATACTGCTGTCGAGGAAATGGGTCCAGCTCCTGCCGTCGAGAAGATACCAGCTCCTGTCGTCGAGGAGGATGATAAAACTCCCTAACTTCGAGAAGGAGCGTCCATCTCCTGCTGTCTATATGGAGGTTATAGTTCCTGCCGTCGAGGATGATGATAAAAATCCTGCCGTCGAGGAGGAAGTTAAAGATCTTGCCGTCGAGGAGGTTAAAGTTCCTGCCGTCGAGGAGGAGGATAAAAAATCCTGCGTCGAGGAGGTTAAAGTTCTTGCCGTCAAGGAGAAGATAAAAATCCTGAGGCCGTCGAGGAGGTTAAAGTTCTTGCCGTCGAGGAGGAGGCATAAAAATCCTGCCGTCGAAGGAGGTTAAAAGTTCATGCCATCGAGGATTGATAAAAATCCTGCCGTAGAGGATAAGTTAAAGATCTTTGCCATCGAAAGAGAGTTAAAGTTGCCTGGCCCATCGAGGGGTTAAAGTTCCTAGCGTCGGAGGGAGAAGGGGTAAAAGATCTCCCCGTCAAGAAGAGGTTAAAGTTTCCTTAGCCAATCAAGGATTGAAATTAAATCTTCTGGCCATCGAGAGAAGGTTAAAGTATTGGCCGTTGATGCTAAAAGATACTGCTGTCGAGGAAATTGGGCCCAGCTCCTGCCAGTCCAGAAGAGAACAATCTCCTGGCCGTCAAGGAAG